GAAGTCCCAGGGTACAGGCTTCAGGTACAGGCTCCTGTGGCCTTCTCCAAGGGAAGGGAGACAGACAGACAGACTGACTCAAGAGCTCCTTCCTCACTCAGCCCCAGCCTCCTCTCTGGCTCCAAGCAGAGCCTCCACTCCGTCCCCTCTACCCCCTGTTTCACCTGCCTGATGCAGCAGGCTCCCTCTCCTTCCGCAAGATCTCATTTGGAGAAAGGTCTCCATGATTACAAAAAGTAAGCAAACATATATTGTGTTATATATAATAAATATACATATTATATTATCAAACACAGTGAAACCTTGGATTCTAAGTAACTTGTTCTGCGAGTGTTCCGCAAGACGAGCAAACATTTCTCTCTCTCTTTTTTTTAATGTTTATTTATTTTTGAGAGAGAGAGAGACAGGGAGACAGAGTGTGAGCAGGAGACGGACAGAAAGAGAGAGACATACAGATTTCAAAGCAGGCTCCAGGCTCTGAACTGTCAGCACAGAGCCCCATGTGGGGCTTGAACTTACGAACCTTGAGATCATGACCTGAGCCGAAGTTGGACGCTCAACCGACTAAGCCATCCAGACACCCCACAAGCAAACATTTCTAATAAATTTTAACTTGATAAATGAGCAATGACTTGTAATACAAGTAGCATATGTCGCCTAATGTCACATGATCACAACTGAGCCAATGATGCTTGAAATTCGGTTTGACATACAAGTGCTTTGGAATACGAGCATGTTTCTGGAACAAATTAGGCTTGCAGACCAAGGTTTTACTGATTTTATATATAATAAAGATATATATTAATTATATATGTTACTTTATATATACAAATATATATTATTTTACATATATATAAAAATATACATATATATGTACCAGTTATTTAGCTAATGAGTTCTCCATGTATATAAAATCATTCAATATATAAATATTCAGCTTACAGAGACACCTGGGTGGCTCAGTCGGCTCAGCATCCGACTTCAGCTCCAGTCACGATCTTGCAGTCTGTGAGTTCGAGACCCGTGTCAAGCTCAGTCCTGACAGCTCACGGCCTGGGGCCTGCTTCGGATTCTGTGTCCCCCTCTCTCTCTGCCCCTCCCCCGCTCATGCTCTGTCTCTCTCTCTCTCTGTCTCTCTCTCTCTCTCTCTTTCTCAAAAATGAATAAATGTTAAAAAAATTTTTTTCTAAATACTCAGCTTGTGATTCCATGTCAGGATCACATCTGCTATGTGAAGTTGACAGGGATGTGCCTACAATTTATTCCTAACGAGAAAGGTCAACTTCAATGTAATGGGGAGCCAACCAGAGAGGAACAGTGCATCCAGGAAAGGTGTCCAGCCATTAAAAACAAGAAATATTTGGAGGTGAATCAGCTTGCCTCGAATGCTCCTGATGGTGTTGTCAAATCAGCATTTCAAAATTAAGGCAGCTAGGAGGACCGGCCCTTCTTCCCCAAAGAGGCCATGAGAGCCAAAAGCCGGATGTTCCGTGGATCCGATTGTTTCCATGGGACACCACCTTCCAGGAAAGGAAGATCTGAATCTTCCCGGAAGCTGCGTGTTCCTTCCTGCTCCAAAGGCTGTGCTTACTAAGGAAGCCTGTCCAGTCGTGGGGGGCATTTTCCTGACAACGCCATTCTGGGGCTCAAAGTTCTTACATTTGGGTATAGGGTGCTATGTGCAGAGACATCAGATGCCTGCCTACTTTAATCTGCTCCCCAGCCTTTAGCGGGGCACCTCCTGCATGGGAAGCACTGTGCTAAGTGCTGGGGGTTCGAAGGGGAGAAGGGAGCCGTCCTTGCTCTCATGGGGTGGTGGGGGAAGCTGGGAGGAGGGAGCTTTACACACAGATGATCAAAAGTCTTGTGGAAAGTGCGAGCCACACGGCTCACTACTCTAGGCCAAGGAGCACCAGAAGCAGAGCTAGGTCTGGAAGTCCTGGGAATCGTCCTGGAGCAAGTTCACGTGCATTTCATTACAGGACTTGTTTTATGGCATCTTGGTCTATAAATACCTCCAGGCAACACAAATGCACTTCCACAGAAGGACCGGATTTCAGCATCGAAGCAAGTTCATGCTCATTAACCCCACACAGGTCTGATGCTAGATGCCCCTCTAGGTTACAGGCCTGGAATCATGTTTTTTGATTATTCTTCAAGAGAGCGTGCTCACTACTACCTGGGGAGGGGTCTGGACTTCCTGGGCGACCACGCTGAGGCCCCACTTTGTAGAGCCTGCTTCCAGCATTAGGAGAGTGGGGAGGCTGCAGAATAATGTTCCCTGCGTGTCTGGCTTGGCCAGGATGCTCAGGGCCCCAAGCACTGGGATCCGCGGTCCTCGGGCTGCACCTCAAGTGTGGGAACGGAGCGGCCGGCTGCTGGCGGTCACTCAGAACGCACGCAGCAACTCAGGGCACCACACGTGCCTCTCAGGGCACCCCGTGCCCCCCACAATTTGCACCCACTGCCCTGCTGTGGGGCCGTCGGTAACCAGGGCTTTGATGGGGTCTCGGCTGGCTTCTCAGCTCAGCCTTTGGAAGCATAGAGCTTCATTTAGACGCGCTGCTCACCTTGCTGTGGAGAGTTCTAATCCCACATCATTTTATTTCTCTCTCTCTCTTTTTAATGTTTATCTATTTTTAAGAGAGACAGATCACAATCAGGGGAGGGGCAGAGAGAGAGAGGGAGACACAGAATTGGAAGCAGGCTCCAGGCTCCGAGCTGTCAGCACACAGCTCCATGCGGGACTCGAACCCATGAACTGTGAGATCATGATCTGAGCCAAAGTTGGACATTTAACCAATGGAGCCACCCAGGTGCCCCACATCGTTTTATTTCTGCCACTACCCAGGCATCTTCAGGGTTCCCCTGCCCTCCCTGCTGACCCCTTCTGTTCTCAACATCGATGACACCTTCAGTGTTCACCTTAGTCCCACATCCGTCGTCACACCCTGCCTAATTGCCACCAGCCTTTTCTGTCACCCTCCTCCCCCTAAGTCCCAAATAGAGACAAATTTGCTCCATCCGCCTGATAGCCTTCCAAGCACGTAGTAGGTTTCAACAAATGGCGAACGAAGCCAGGAGTAGAGTTTGCACCCTGCTCTCCCCCCTCAACACACCCATATCTCACAGGTCTCCAGGGACAGGTAGATTATAACAAATCACTGCAAATGAGCAGCAGGTGGGGGTGGCGGCACAGAGTCCGCAACGACGAGTCCTCGGTAAACACTTGACCACTTGATAAATAAGATGCGCTCACAATCTGTGTCTTCTTTCTCTGCACATTTGCCGTGACGTCCAAACACGGAGTGGCTGCCTTCCTTACGGCCTGCATCTTGGTTTTACCCTCAAATAAGGAGCAATGTTACCCTGAAAACCAAGGCAATTGCATTTGTGCTGCGATTTATAGTCTTCAGAGAGCGTTCTGTGAACAAAGCGTTTGTGTGTGTCCATGATGGGCTGGATGGTTTCTGGGGTTTTCCTTTTTTTTTTTTTTTTCAGAGACAGAGAATCCCAAGCAGGCTCCATGCTCAGGGTGGAGCCCCAACATGGGCTCGATCTCACAACCATGAGATCCTTGGGGCTGAAGCTGCAGATGACCCCATTACCCAGTGCTCAACCCTCTCTGCCCAGCTCCCTCTCCTTCCCCAGCCTCTCCAGGAAAGACCCCCTCTGTTTACAGCTCTCCTCAAGCGATCTCCTGGACAATGTCTTTGTTTCCCAGGGCCTATTCAGAAAAAACGCTGTGTGGGGCACCATGAGACTCAACTTACCTGGTGGTGACAGAGCTGTGGCTCTCCAACCTGTACCTGAAGTTTTTCCAAACCATGTGCTCCTGGTCCTGAGCATAGGTCCCCTATGTAAGGCTTTCGTCTGCTTTCACAGTGCAACTCACAGAAGTGAAAGTCTTCCCTGTTTGGATTGTATTATCAGTCTGGTGAAGATATTTCCGTCATTTAAGAAACTGGGGGGACACGTGGGTGGCTCAGTTGGTTAAGCATCTGGCTCTTGATTTTTTTTAAATTTTTTTAATGTTTTATTTATTTCTGAGAGAGAGAGACAGCTTGAACAGGGGAGGGTCAGAGAGAGAGGGAGACACAGAATCTGAAGCAGGCTCCAGGCTCTGAGCTGTCAGCACAGAGCCCGACGCAGGGCTCGAACCCATGAACCGTGAGATCATGACCTGAGCCGAAGTCAGACACTTAACCGACTGAGCCACCCAGGCACCCCATCTGGCTCTTGATTTTGGCTCAAGTCATGAACTCACAGTTCATGGGTTGGAGCCCTGCCTCGGGCTCTGTGCTGACAGTGGGGAGCCTGCATGGGATTCTCTCTCTCCCTCTCCCTCTGTCCCCTCTCTGCTCATGCTTGCTCTCTCTCTCTCAAAATAAATAAACTTAAAAAGAAATTTGAGAGGATGCCCTCTTGTAGCGTGTTGAGTTTAGTAAGCGCCAATTCTAAGATCATTTCAACGCTGATAAAAGTATGTTAGGCTGAATTGTACACTATTCTTCAGCTCACAGAGGGCAGATGCTGGGACTTCTCAGCCCCCGTGAGCACACGAACCAATTCCTGTAATGAATATGCTCTTGTGTATGTCTCTATATCTCCTACCGGTTCTGTTTCTCTAGAGAACGCTGGCTCATTCTATGATAAGGCAGAAAACCCTGGGAAGGAAGAAGACGTACATACAGGGACTTTTTTCAACAGAGAAAAGCATTTAACTGGAAAGACAGACTGAGCCGGAGGACGAGGCAGGAGTGGCCTCCGATGGCCAACCAGAGCCCCCCGGATGGTCCGCTGGAGCCTTGGGGTGCTTCTGCGTCCTGCAGGCCTGGCCACTTAAAGGTGTTTTGGCCCCTCTTGCCCTGCCCCTGGGGCAAGTTCTGCAAAATACCTATTAGTTGCGCTTGACAGCCAGGGAGGGCTGAAGCCTCAGTCACTCTTCACCTTCCCTTGTCCATTCCAGATACTTATTAACGTGGTCTTCGTGAAAGGGATGAAGGATTGGCCACCTTTATTCTTGTTCATAAGGTTTGGATGGTTCTGGTGCTAGATGCTTGGGGGAGGGGAGCGGAAGGCCTCCAGCAATGAGACTTGCCTGCCCAGCCCAGGTCAGGGTCAGCCTGGGTTGGGGTGAGTCTGGGGCTGTCTGGGTCCGCTCCCCGGGGTTCCTCACGCACCCTCAAAGATGGTCTCTCAAGAGGCCGCCGACAGCAGCCCCGTGCCCAGCTGCCCAGGGTAGGGGTGCACAATGGGGGCCTGTTCCTGAGGGCGCCAGGAATATTCTAGGAGAAAAAAGCAGAGGGGAAAAAAATGTCTAAGTATCTGCCTTTGCTTCCTACGCCTCACCCACTCAAAACATTAACTTCATACCAAACCCCCACTGAATTGGTGTCCAGGGACTTCGAGCAGGTCACGAAGGAGCCCCAGCTTCTACGGTAGCTCCAATTTGTGCCAGTCCCACAGCCTTACCCCCATGCTTCATGCTTTCGGGGTTTTTTTGGGTTTTTTGCTTTGGTTTGGTTTGTTCATTTTTTTCTTTCTTTTTTCTTTTTAAGCATTGGATGGAATTGTTTGTAGCAGTCATATTCCAAGGATGCCAAGGGTGGAATTTTTTTTTCTGATTTGCATTCTTCTCCTATTTGGGATTTTTTTTTTTTTTCAGTGAAAAAGGCATAACTTCAGACAGCTCTGTGACTTGGTAAATTCAAGTTTTGACCCTCCCTCTCACACCTGCTAGAAATAACTTCAGCCACGGCACCAGTTAAACAGATTTGGCTGCAGGCAGGGTTAGGGGTTCAGGGGAAGGGAAGGAATAGAGCTTTTGTTGTGCGATCACCTAGTTATGAAATTAAACCTTTTGGAAGGAAGACAGGCTTGTCAGTTAACAGAAGAAAGGAGCCTATGGGTCCGTGAGCCATTCTGGTCACCTCACAGAAAAAAAGGGCGATTTTACTACCTAAAAATCACATTCGTTCTTGTCAAGAGGCTCAGTGACGATCAGAAAAAAAATTACAGAAAGGCCCTCTGGGCTTCCTCATATCGGCCAGTAAGAGAGGCTTTAAAGCTGCATTAATGAAAACAATTTGATTCTGGCGCATAAACAGGCAGACAGATCAATGGGACAATCAAGAGTCCCAAAAGATACTGAAAAACACAGAATAATGTGTTAAAAAAAAAAAAAGGCAAATATCCAATCACCGAGGGAAAAACGGATTCTTCAATAAGTATTGCTGGGAAAACTGGCTAACCAGAGACGGAAAAGTTAACCTGAGTCTTCTTTCATGTCCATATCCTAAATGTGCTTGTAATACGTGTTTAAAAATGAAAAAAGTTATGGAAGTACCAGAAAAGATCATGAGATCATTTTTTATGTAATCTTGGAAGAGGAGACAGCCTTTCTAATTAAGACAAAACTCAGGGGACGCTTGGGTGGCTCGTTGATTGGGTATCCGATTCTAGATTTCGGCTCAGGTCATGATCTCATGATCATGGGATGGATCCAGGCATGGGGCTCTGCACTGGGCACAAAGCCTGCTTGGGATTCTCTTTCTCTCTCTCTGCCCCTTCTCCTGCTTGCACTTTCTCTCTCAAAAAAACAAAAACAAACAACAACAACAACAACAAAAAAAACAGAAACAAAAAACAAAAAAACCCTCAGAAGCCATAAATACTGATGAAGTTGACTATATAAATATTTACAGTTTTGTTCCTACGAAAAACACCAAAGTGATGTCAGAATACAAATGAAAAGATGGGGAAAATATTTGAAAGATGGATTATGGATAAAAGACCAATATATGAAGGGCTTAATATGAAAACAGGACTCATAAACCCCAAGTCAAAGGCCAACGACTCACTTTTTTTTTTTAATGAGCAAAACATAGAAACGAGAAGTTCACACACCCACACAGGGAAATAGAAACGACATATTAAAGGGGCACCTGGGCAGCTCAGTTGGTTAAGTGTCTGATTTCGGCTCAGGTCACGATCTGGAGGTTTGTGGGTTCAAGCCCTGAGTTGGGCTCTGTGCTGACAGCTCAGAGCCTGGAGCCTGCTTCAGATTCTGTGTCTCCCTCTCTCTCTGCCTTTATCCCAGTAGTGTTCTGTCTCTGTCTCAAAAATGAATACAAATGTTAAAAAAAAAAAAAACAATTAAAATAATAATCATAATTTTAAAAAGAAATGACATTAAAAATGCAAAAAAGTGGGGCGCCTGGGTGGCTTAGTCGGTTGAGCGTCCGGCTTTCGCTTAGGTCATGATCTCGCGGTTTGTGGGTTCGAGCCCCGCGTCGGGCTCTGTGCTGACTGCCAGCTCAGAGCCTGGAGCCTGTTTCAGTCTGTGACTCTCTCTCTCTCTGACCCTCCCCTGCTCACGCTGTCTCTCTCTCTCTTAGAAATAAATAAAACATTTTAAAAAAATGCAAAAAAGGAGAAAGCAAATTAAAACCTGTAAAATTTGTTCCCATAAGGTTAAAATGTTTTTTGTTACTAATTAGGTCGACAAAGATCAAAACTTTGATAACACACGGTGCTGCTTAATATGTGCTGAAATCAACATTCTCAACTGTGGAGGGAAGTGTAGACAGGTGTGACCTATTCCAAATATCTTTCCAAACAAGATGGGCATGTACGCCAGCCGCACTTCCTGGAGCTCATCTTGCAGATGTCCTCACTCCCGGGAGCCCAGACGCAGGGCGCTCTGAAGCTTTGCAATAGCTCGAGATCAGAACCCACGCAGATGTCCGCCAAGAGGTTTGGTTGGTTAAATACCGGTTACGTGCATTATGAACATTCACACCACAGTATATTCGCGGGGACGCCTGGGTGGCTCAGTCGGTTGAGCATCCAACTCTTGGTCTCGGTTCCAGTCTTGATTTCAGGGTCGCAGGCTCGATCCCCGCATCGGGCTCTGCGCTGATAGTGCGATCCCTGCGTGGGATGCTGCCTCTACCTCTCCCCTGGTGCGCATGCGCTCTCTCTCTGTCTCTCTCTCTCAAAATAAACATTTTTTAAAAATAGCATACTCCTGGGGGCGCCTGGGTGGCTTAGTCGGTTAAGCCTCCGACTTTCGCTTGGGTCATGATCTCGCGGTTCGTGGGTTCGAGCCCCGCGTCGGGCTCTGTGCTGACTGCCAGCTCAGAGCCTGGAGCCTGTTTCAGTCTGTGACTCTCTCTCTCTCTGACCCTCCCCTGCTCACGCTGTCTCTCTCTCTCCTAGAAATAAATAAAACATTTAAAAATTTTAAAAAAAATAGCATACTCCTCAGTAGTTTCAATGGGGGTGGTGATGCTGTATGTTCTAAGAGAAACTATCTCCAAGATTGCTAAGTGGAAAAAACAAGGAGTGAAGCGACACGTGCCATAGGTTGTGTGTGTGTGTGTGTGTGTGTGTGTGTGTGTGTGCGCGCGCGCGCCCGTGCGCGTTCAGGTGCACGCTTGGGCATTCACTCAACAGAGATTTACTGAGCAGCTGCTGTGTGCCGGGACCCTTTCTAAACATGGGCGGGGGGAGGAAGGGCACAGCGGTAAACAAAATAGACAAAACCCTCTTTTCATATAAGCCTTTAAGGCTTGATGGAGCTCACATTCGTATTGTATTGTATTGTATTGTATTGTATTGTATTGTATTGTATTGCATTGCATTGCATTGCACTGCATCTTCTTATATCGATGCAGAGAACTCTAAGTGGAAGAGGCAGTGGATCACAGGGTGGAAAGGAAAGTCTTAAGTAGAGAAAATGAAGAGACGGATGAGGAGCACAGGGTCTCCTCTTTCAATCAGGTTCTCAGAGAAAAGCCAAGCCTTGGAAGAGGTGAGGGAGGGGGCTCGCACCGGGCGAGGAAGAGAGGTCCAGCCAGAAGGGACAGCAAGTGCAAAGGCCCCAGAAGGGAGCCTAGTGGCAGGATGGAGGGAGACCGAGGGGCCAGGGAGGCCAAAGCAGTGAGTGCCAAGGAGAGCAGAGGGGAAGCCATTCAGAGGAGAGGGCGTAAGAGCGTTGGCTGTTTGAACGACTCTGGCTTTATACCGAGAGATGTGACATGATCTGACCCCAGGTTTTAGGAACGTACTGAGAATTTTCCAAGCAGCTACACACCAAGCCGTAGTGGTGATCGCCTCCAGGGAGGGGAAGGGTGGGGCGCAGGCAGGGAGGTGTGGGAGAGAATGACTCTGCATTATATTCAGTGGCCTGTTTCGTTTCTTAGTTTGATGGTGCACAAACTGCCTTTTCCGTTAAGAGCCCCTTTGCCCTGTGTAAGATACAGAATAAAAGGCCATCCCCCAGAAAGACACCCCCTTTTCCTGGATGTCTCGATAATCTAGGGGTTGCCTGGGTGGGTTTCCATCCATGGCATCAGAAGAAAGCTCCCAGGTGGAGAGATGCAGGGACCTGGGGCGGGACGCCATGGTCATGTGCAGGAATCCAAGGGGGCACGAGCTTCCTTCCACCATAGATGCTACCATTCAATGCGTTGCACACAATGGTGGGAAAAATAGCAGGAAACAGGACTAAGAGACGAGCTTAGGTGGTTGCACAAAACCCAAGTTCTACCTCTCCTGGAGCCCATGCAAAACCAAGAACACCCAGGAAGGAAGGCATAGATGCCAACACCCTTTGCCCAGTGTGCCCTGGGGAGGAATATGGGTTTAAAAAAAAAAATCTTGAGGAAAGTCTATGATTCACCAATTTTTTAAAGAAAAGGAATTGTAGACCGCAGTCCATTTTTTAATATACTTGGGATGTTTCACCGTCGCATCCATACCCTTTCATGTGACTCTCTCTCTTCAAGCTCGGCTCTACTATCCTCATCTCTTTCAGAAAGGTTTCCCCAAGGAATTCAGTCTACCCCCATCCAGTCTATTAGGAAATGCTCAACACTCAGGCCACAAGGCCCTTTTCCCTGATCCATGACAGATGTCAGCAGTGAACCTGGAAGATTTGGATGTATTGAATTCAAATACTTGAATAAATCACTAGGCCTCTCTGACCATCTGTCTCATCTTCAAACTGATTACATGAGAGTAAAGGGTCTCTATAAAATTATCTGAAGCAAATCGATTCACTCAATCATTCTGTGCTTCTAAAGCAACTGGTTGTTGGGATAGCCCATGACCTGACTCAGAAAAGGATTACCAGGGGTCTGGGTGGCTCAGTCAGTTGAGCATCCGACTTCGGCTCAGGTCATGATCTCACAGTTCGTGGGTTTGAACCCCACGTCGGGCTCTGTACTGACAGCTAGCTCAGAGCCTGGAGCCTGCTTTAGATTCTGTGTCTCCTTCTCTC